TAGAGCCAACGCCTCTAGGAACAAAGAGAACTAGTGAATATTGATATCATTTACAATATCTTTAAGAAATCAGTCCGGATCCACCATCTCTGTGTAGTGTGCTGTTTTAAAGGATTCGAAGAAATTTTATTTATTTATTTTTTGCAAAAGGGGTGAGAAAGGATATTTTGAAACTTGCTCAAGTTGAGAACTTTTATCTTCAAAAATGTTTAAAGCAAAACTAACAAACATCTCCTATAATTCCAAACAGGTCATTCCTAGAAAAATTCAATCAAATGCCAAATTTGCAGAAGACTTTCCTATAATATTTAATTTGTTGATTAATCTATAAAAATATTTTCTTATATTGATAATTATCATTAAGTTGTAAAAACTGCCAAATTTTTTACTCCAACAATAATTGTCCCTAATGTTTAAAAGTAAGTGCTACCTGGAAAAGAATAAAAGGCCACATTTAGGACAGTGGTTACCTGAATCCGACTGGAAAGAACACAGGGCAAATTCACTGCACAAGCAGTGTTTAGTGTTAAATAAATGGCAAGCAAATGTGGTAAATTCGGCAAGCAGAGAGCATGCTATTGTTTGTAACTTTCTGTATGCTCATACTATTTCATAACTTAAAGTATAAAAGTGTTAAATAGTGAATTATGAATCTACATGTGCTTTGGAATACAATCTGAGGTTTGGATGAAAAATTGGCACCTTATCAAATAAACTGCTTGAATGACTACTGCTATAAAATATGTAAATTTAATTATTGCAATTATTTCCTGATTGTAAATCAAGGTATCCAAAAACTGGAAAATCTATCAAACAGCCAGGTCAGGTCCTCTGCCAGGGAAAGATGCGATCATTGATACTGGGCTGCATGGGGTACACAAGTCACTGCCAGGCAGACACACCTCAGGAGGGCCCAAGCCAGCCCTTCTCCTCGGGAATACCTAAGCGCAGAGGAGCTTTCAAATCCTGCTTATTCAAGACATGAAAAATAAAGGTCTTGTACCAAGTTTATCAGCGATTTTTCCAAGATCAGCTGTAAGCTCAACTGCAGGTGGTTAGGGACAAAGAGGAGGTGTGACTGTCTTGCTCACTCATCCACCTGCTCGGTTGCTCTCCCCTGAAGGAGCACAGGCAAAGGAGGAAAAAAAATCAGGATAAAATCTGGGTGATGCCCCATTACTGACACTTTATACCACACTGACGTGGGTTTTAGCCTAAGTCACTGTTTATGAGAACAACAATCACAAACACCTAATTGCCTGCTACTGAATATCAGTCCTGCTACAAAGCACTTTGTCCTCAGCTTGGCCCCCAAAATACTCCATCTGTCTCACTAACACTGGCTAAGTGGCAGGAAAAACCAGCAACAGGTACTTGATGTCAATCAATCATTTTACCTGGTCTCACAAACTAATAAGTCAAAAGTAATAATTAAGAATGAAAGAAACATAAATGGTATACAGCTTGCTTCTGGGTCATGTCTCACTAAACTTTGGATGTATTAAGTAGATAAATATTTCTGACACAAATCTGAGATGACTGCAAAATCTAAACATAACTAGAACAAATCTTAATTAAATGCAATATTAAAATAACTCATTGGGTTGCCTCATGGTTATTTTTATTTTTTGTTTTCTTTCTGATATCAAAAGGCTAACAAAACAAATGTGCTCATGATGACTTTATTTTTATATTTCAAAGTCAAATGAAAATTGTGCAAAAATTTCAACAGCCATAAGTCTAATGCTGGAAAAAAATGTATTCAGCCATTATTTTGAAAGAATATAGTTAATATTTTTGTTCAAGAATATCTTAAAGATAGAAATGAAAATAGTGAAAACACGTATTAAAAATGCTAACTTTGATTATAAAAGTTCCCCCAGGTTATGACAGTGTTAAATGTACAGAAAAATGGCTATTTTTCAAAGTGAAATGAAAATAAATCCTTAAAAATATTTTCAGAACTCTTATAAAAAAAAAAAAAGCATATAAGACAGGCATATAAAAGTCACCTGATCATTTGTTTTTTGGATTAAATGTGTGATTCTAGACTTTTATGACCCAGTTCTGTTAGTTTCTAATTGGTTTGTTTGTTTGTATATATGCATTTTACTGTATATTAACTAGCATCTCCGCCCCACATGTTCAAAAAGAATATTATATAACATTTAAAAAGATGTCACTACCACACTTAATGCTAAATAGTACACAGTAGACACTGGAGAGTATTCGGAACTTCTGCTGTCTGAAGCCGATGGCAGCATGCAGAGTGAGAGCTGGCTTCCTCAGCCCACTCTCTGCTTCCCAAATGCCACCCAAAGCATTCTGTCCTGAGATTTTTCTCTTAACTTTGCTCCAATTGCTTACTTCACAACCGAGATTTGTTATTTATTATTTATGTGACACTTTTGTAGGAACGCATTATTGCCAGGCTCCCCAGTCTAAGATTTGTGAAGTTTTATTTCAGCTAAATGTGAAAATTACAGATAACTGGAATTTAACCTACACAAAACATTTCAAAGAAAAGAGAATACTTGTAGGCCGAGTTGTTTTTTCAGTTCCTTGTTTTCCTTGGAAATACACAGATGATTGATTCCATTCTCTTCCTATTGATAAAAGTGGAACCTTGGCTCAGCTATTGTTATTGCTGAAAACTGCACAACATGCCCTGCAGTGTTACAATAATTTTAAGCCTCAAAACTTAAAAGCTACAAGTATTATTTCCTTATAGCGGCCTTAAATAAGTGGCTTGCCCTTAGTCCAAGGGAAGTTTCTTTAATTACACGAGGCAGATTTAACTATATGAGTAGTAAGAGCTGACAAACGCCTCGCCCTGCATTTGGTTCAGGTATTAGCGTTTTGGGGCATTTTGCACAAATAATAACTCAAGAGTAGACACTATTTTATCAAAACATAATGTCACAAAATATAAGAGGAAGCTCTGCCAGGACCAGAAGTGGCGCTGGGAGATGGAGAGAAATAAAAAGGAAGCATTTGCTCCCCCAGCCCAGCCTGGGCACATGCGCACAAAGAGCATTTACATGGAAGGTGAAGGACACAGAGATGGGAAGCCAGTCCACTGAGGGTACCACCCCCCCCCCCCCCCAGCCTGTCCTCTGACTTTAAAGGAACACGTGAAATAGAGACTCCAGTCCGTTCTCAAATTAAGCCATTCTTGAATACCCACATTTAATTACTGGTGGTGGTTTTCAATATCTGAGCTGCCCCAATGAACCAAAAACTAATACACATTGTTCCATTTGACTAAATGGCCTGCTTTCCCACATTAAATGATTAACCAGGAAATGGAAAGCATGAAGGCTAACCCCTTCTGATGGCTGGAGGAGCCAGAGGAGGAGGGAGCAGTTGCTGGAAGCGAGAAGGCTGCGCGCTGCCTGTGCTCGGGCCCAGTACCGCCGCAGCCAGGAGGCCGGAGCACATGGCGGAGCAGGCAGCCACCTGCATGGCCCTCCACGCTCAGCGGGAGCCACCCCCCGCCTCGCAGGTTTTGACTCAGGTGTTGGAAAAGTAAGGACTGCCATTAAACACTCATTTTTTTTAAAAGCACAAATGTGATTTCATGATTAAAACCACACAATTAGGACTGACAAGCTCAGGATACAGCCCATGTGGTTTCCAGAAAAAGCTTAAGAAGGAAGATGGAAAAAACAACCACCACTCACGTTGTTTACCATCGTTTGGAAGATTCCACTGACTGTGCTGGTGATGAGTGTGAGTGCACACAGCTTACTGCCAAGGCCAGGGGATTATCTCCTCAGAACCTAAGCCTTCAGAATGAAGAAATACATGGCAAGCCCCTCCCCATATTCATCACAAATCTATATTTTTAAAGTATCATCTCTCCCAAATCTTTGGCACTCGAGTGTTCAACAGTCACGAGTGTTTTCTTCCAAGAATGTCAATGTTTCCTAAATAAATGTAATGATTCAGAGCTTCTTAGCCTCTTTATGATTTTCTAAGAAAAACTGATAGTTCCATTTCTATATCATCAGGTAAAGCAACTGTTGTCAGTTATCCAACGTCCTGTGTCAATTTCAGGACGAATCATTTCAATAACTGAAACTGATTACTTTTCTTAATATTCATTTATTATAAATACTTTTCTAGTATCCATTGACAACCAAGTGAGTTTTTCCTCAATGTCATTTTATTTGTTAATAAAGAAATACAGAAGCAGTTTTAATGTAATTTTTATAGGAAAATATATAAAACCCAGAAAATATATAAAAATGAGAATTACCATCTCATTCATGAAAGACTATCATGTTTGGCCCTTATTGATGGAGGCACATAAACAAAAATGCAAATATTTGCATGCCCTCTAGAAACCTTCTAGTTAAATCTTTGTTTCCTTTTTACTTTTACTGTTAATAAAGAATTTCTAACCATGCCTTCAGAAAATGCATGGATCCCACCAACTTGTCCACGGCACTCCACTGTGAGACTGAACGTATGAGGAAATATTAATAGAGCTTTGATTTGTGCCTTCATGTCACAAAGTCTAAATGAAACACTTAGAACGGGGATCCTAAGTTTTATTTATCAAGGTAGGGAAGCACTCTGGTGCTACATGATTACAGAGTTAACTTCCCCCTTTTAGTTCCCTCCCCCCTTTCTCCAAAAACTATGCCAAAAATTCCCCCTCGGAGGATTATATTTTGCTATGGGTTTTCTTCAGGGATGCTTCACACACAGAGAGCTAAGGGAGTAAATAGAAATTTTAAAAAGGATACTTCTGAAACTCCAAATGTGCCAAATAACCGAATGAATTAGGCCTTATTTCGGTTCCTTTCGGTTCCGGTTCCAGGAGGGGCACTCAGATATTGTTACTAATCTGATTCAAATGGGAACAGTTGGGCAAAATACGTATAAAAGATACTTTGCTGTTTTGTGGGCGGCAGTATGACTTGAGAAAGACCTGCACAGGACGCAGCCACGCTTCAGCCTGCCCCCGCCCCACAGGCAGGCATGCTCCTTACCAGGTCCCCAGGGCTGACAGAGACGGCCACCACCACGCCAGGCATCGGGGAGCGAAGAGTGCTGCTTGTATCCTCGGCCACTTTTTCCAGCATAAATCTGCTCAATTCTGCGGCGAGTTTGGTTAAGATATGCACCTTGTACTGAAGGAAAAACAACATGAGTGAGCTTAACTGATGAACGCTTTTCTCAAAGGTAGCACTCATTCAAAATCAGCTTTTACCTTTTACATTTAAATGATAATACCTACAAAGTCACAGGCTTTTTAAAATTATTGCACATAAAAACAAAATAAATTTATCTATTTCTGGCATATGTGATGAGCCACTTATTTAAGAGATTTCTTGAAATAAGAACGCCTCTGAAATTAATTAGTGATAAATAGTCATCATTTTGTTACGTGAAGAAAACACCTGAAAACTTTATAAAGGAAACTGAGCATTTTCTGTTTTCCCTTCACCACTTACAAAACTTAATCCCAGTTAACGCCAATTCCGTGAGCTGGGTCAGCCACAGGGAAAAAGGGGCGACTGTGAGCACACGCCAGTAGATGGCAGCAGACAGCTGTCTCTAACGCCCACTCCCTCAAGGGGGCTGCTGTTCCACGTATCAATAACTTAAGACAAAGGGTTTCATTGTTCACTTTGGGCAAAACAATACTTAAAATTCAGTTTTTTTTCTAGGGACATAAAATGTTATATTCACGACTGAAAATGTTAGCCTTTCTTTTTAGGCCCAGCGTTATGCAGACTTTCTGTAACAAGGTGGTTAGTATAGATACAGATGAAAGGCGATGAGAATATCTTCTGTATTAAGGGATAATATGACTCGAGTTTAAAACCATTGAAGGAAAATGATATGCACAGCCAAGTATTAACAATGAGGGGTGCACCAAAGGCAGTTCGAACAGGACATTTCTGGTGGAGAGAATTTCTGCCCAGCAGGGAAAATCCTGGATCTCTGTGAATAAACAGGTGAGCCTCAGTTTGGTCTATGTAAACAGAAACAAGATAAAATGGTGGGAGGACGTGTTGGTGGGCGAAGGGGGAAGGGCCACCTGAAGATTCTTGGATCCCTCCCAGATCGCATTTCCCCTGGGGAGACAGATTGCAGCATCCAGGCGGCCCCATTTTGTTCAGAAAAGCTGCTGTAACCTAAAGCCTCCTGTGGGCATCATGATGGCAGGGATGCAGAAGCAAAATAGAATTCGCCCTCTAATTCGGTGCAGGGTTGGCGGAAATCTTTAAGTGTGCTCTTTGCGGGCCTATTTAAAGAGGAGGGAGGGGTGGGGGAGGGCCCCCGAGGAAGCGCTTTGATGGCCTAAGTCAGAGCAGATGAACGGCACTGTGACAGGTTGAAGAATAACATCTTTTGCATGTTTCTTTACTCCTGAGTGTGTGTTTTGCAATCAAGACATACAAGTGTCTGCCAGTTTCTGAAGGATATGATCCTTAAGTGAAATTACAGGGCAAAGAAAAGCTTTTTTGCTCCTATTAAAATTCATCTGAATCATAAGTGGCAAGGGAAAAAAGCGAGAAGAGTGTGCTCTGCTGTCAGCCTAATAAACATTCCGGGCAGAGAGGGACTATTTATTAACGAGGAATTGTACCTCAAAGTCCTTCATTACAGGAGAGAAAGAGAGGGGGGGAATATAATTGTACCAAATTGCACAGCTTTAGTGTCTGTGCTGTCTGCCTCAGAAAGGAAGTCCACATTAGAAGAACCATCAACAAAAAGTTCCTCCTCTCGCTGGCTGCACCCCGGCGGCTCCTCCCCAGGGAGTGATCAGCACTGGGCCCAGTTGTCTGGTTTTCGGCGCAGCATGCAGATCTGGTGTGTGTGTGCGTGCGTGTGTGTGTGTGTGTGTGTGTGTGTGTGTGTGTGTGTTTTGGTACACAATTTGGCTTCAAAGTATAAGTGCTAAATTCAGGGAGAATATCTTTCTACACTGCAAATAAAGAACTTATCACATTTCACAACAGTGGATACCCTTAGAAACTAATGTTAGCTACTAGTATATTACAAACAAGCCTTCATATAAATAAAAAATATATATAAATAAAAAACAAGCCCAAGACTGTCCCAAGCTCCATTTCGCCCCAGAAAATGACAAGATCCTGACTAAAACTGGATCCTCTTACTATTTTTATAATTTTTCCTATCTTTCAGATTCCTTTCTCTGTAGGACTCCTGCTTTGCTTGGAAAGAGATGTAAAAGAGCCACAAAACTCGGGGCCTTTAGATGAGGTCTTTGTTATTGATGAGATGTTCCTTTTTCCTTTTGTATTTGTTTATTGTTCTTAAAATCTGTTTGGGGAGAAGTGACTTATTGTAATCACAGGCAAAAAAAAAAAAAAAAAAAAAATCCAAAAAAAATAACAACGGGGTAAATGCCTCAGGAGAGGCCGTGCTGCAAATAGTTGGCTTAGAAATGACCTCTGTGAATATAAAAGGAGGAGGCATTGGGGAGGCTCTCTTTTTAAGATTACCTTTGATGTCCTGACCCCTTGAGCGTGCCCATGCAAACACGCCTTCTTAAAACAACCTCTTGGCTCGCCCGTGCGGCGTGCACGGGGCGCTTGCCAGGATGGGATCTAAGTGGAGTGCAGCATATGGGCCCATCAGAATGAATTGCCGGGTGAGAACCGTAAAAGGTTTTTGATGCCCCAGAAAAGAAGTCATTTAAGAATGTACACCAGGGCTTTCAAAGTTTATGATCAAAACTGCTATTTATTAGTTTCCCTGAATTCTTAGGGGGCACGGGCAGAGCAGCCAAGTAACTGAGAGGTTTCAGGAAAATGCCCTATGACGCGTGCAGCGCAGTCTGGCTTTACGCTAGGCATTTCAATATTCCTAATGGGTTCTGTAAAGTGTCCCAGGAGAGTGCTGATTTTTAAGCTGTTGTTATTGTTTTCAAGCAGAAAAGCCACGAACTTGATGCTTTGGGAGTAGAAGTCCCTGATTGTAAAAGGCTGGTAGAAAGCACAGGGAGGCGCAGCCCTAGCAGCAGCAGAGAGGATCACCCTGCAAGGTCGTGAGGATCGTCGGCAGAGGGATTAGGAGCTGCTCGCTGGTTCAGTAGCGACGGGTCATCAGCGGCCGGAACTTCACCCTGTGGGTCTGGGGAGGTGCTCTCCAAACCACAGTCAAATGAATACGTTCTTGAAAAACACACCTCACCGGGGAAGTAGAGCAGGTGCTCCCCAGACTCCTCAGTCCACACACACAATAAGGGGAGGGGCCCAAGTCTCACCTCATGATCTAATGATGGTAAAGTAACCCAAGCCCAGGTCTCTAAGCAAGTTAGTGTTATAGTGTCTACAATGGTAAACCATATCTAACAAGACAATGTCTCCCAAAAACATTCAAAAGAAAGAAAGGAAAAGGGATCATACCAGACATGAAAGGATCAGGAAGAAAACTACAAGAGATGGACAGTGAAAAGGAACATAATAGAATTGTTTTAAAAATGAACACACAGCTCTGGACATGAAACCTGATAAAAAAGAAAAAGATGGGAGCCCAGAGCTGTGGTTGCTGGGGGAGGAGGGAACCAATCACGGTTCGGGTTAACAAAACACTGCAGGTGGGCACGCCCCCTGTGCCATTCACAAAACCCTCTGGGCCACCAGCAGCCCTCACTAGGGATGCACCCCACTCAGATGTCACACAAACGCCATCTTGCTGGTGTCTGCATTAGTCCAGTGTGTGTATCTATGGAGTTTAAATCCATGCACTTCTCTTCCAGGCCTCCAGCTTCACCAGCGAGTTTGAATATTCCACGTTCTCATGTGTCTATATGATTTAGGGGTCTAGGAGCTCCTGGCAAGATGAGTGCTGTTGGTTTGCTTTACATGTTTGTGGTTTTTGTTTTTTTTCTCAGATGTGATTTTTAATCCTTTAGCTTCATTGCTCTTAAAGTAACACAGCTCCAGTTTCCATTTCTACGCCATTCTCCCAACAAGGAGGAAATACGAATGAACCGCATTGCTTTTTCATGTCAGCTGGGGGCCATCAACGTCAACACTGCACCAGAGGAAGCGCTCAACCTTCAGGGAGGAACCTTTACCGTGGATTATTTTACATCAATTGTCCTAACATCCTGAAGCATTAGCCATATACTACTGTTCAACGGCCCTCACTCAGTGAGGTGGCAAGTCCATCTCTTCAAATACAGGACTCTTCGTATTCAAAGTTCCATACCTTCTGGCCACAAGGATCTCCAACATTAGATGTGTCTTCATTTCCAGAGTGGGGCACTGAGAGCCAGAACTCAATTATGCCCCTAAAGTCTACTTTCCTAACTTGAGCTACAGAAAAACTGCCAGTGTTTTTATTTATTTATTTATTTATTTATTTATTTATTTATTTATTTTTAAAATATATTTTATTGACTTTTCACAGAGAGGAAGGGAGAGGGATAGAGACTTAGAAACATTGATGAGAGAAAAACATCAACCAGCTGCCTCCTGCATACCCTCCACTACGGATGTGCCCGCAACCAATGTACATGCCCTTGACCGGAATCAAACCTGGGACCCTTCAGTCCGCAGACCAATGCTCTAGCCACTGAGCCAAACCGGTTTAGGCCTGCCAGGGTTTTAAAAGCAACCGAAATGACTAGCTGCAAAAATGATGTATCTTTTAGAACAACAGCATGTCAGAGAAAGAGAAAAACACTAATGCAAATGAAAATACTTAGATGGCATCAGAAATGTAATCCCAACTTGTTTTGCTTTTCTCGCCTACGTTCCCTGTGAGATACACAATGAACACTTGATGAAAACCATAGCAAGGGTTCAAAGCCAGGCGAAACACATTCCCCTCTACCTTAGTATCAGATCCTGCCCAACCCAACCCACTGAAGCCTCCAGGAAACCATACTAAAAATGCAGAACTAGAGCCGGAGGTGTCCTTCTGGAGGTACAACCCAGGTGAAAGTGCCGCCTACAGCTGCGGGTGCTGGAGCAGCCTGTTAGCATAGAGCTGTGACAACTCCATCGGCACAGTCTCAAGGTAGCTGTCAATCAGGATGCATCATTTAATCCAACAGCACTCGGAGGACTTTCTCCGACAACCCACATGACAGCATATCTACAGCTCTATTTATACCAGCGCCCAGTTGTGTTTACAATGCTGTTGT